TACTAAAAATTTAACAAATAAAAAGGAACAAAAAGAATATATAAATACTTTAAAATAATCATTGACTTGACAGTTGACAAATTTCTAAACTCAAAAAATATCTTCTTTTTTTTCACAATATCACCCATTTATGTTTTAATTAATGATTATAATTGCTCTATCTGTTCTTTTTTATTTGTTAGATTTTTAGTCAAAGTTTATTTTTATTTATTTATTATTTTCAAATTTCAAGACAAGATTAATTATTATGTTATTAATTATATCCTTACATCTCATCTAACTTTTAATTAATTTGTATATGTGCATTTATTATGAAGCAAAAATGAAAGAGAATATAATATGATACATTATATGGAAAATAAAAAAATTTATTACGTTTCTTGATTTGTGTAAAATAAACTTAAACTACTATTATAAAAAAATGAAGGTAGTATAATTTATCTTCCAATGTATCCTCATTTAATGTTTTTTAAACCAAAATGATGAGTTCTTGAAACTTACTATGCAGCCAAGATCCAGTTGAGAGATAAATTTTCAGCTGTTGGCTATAAGAATTAACAAGCAAAATATAATCTTGTCTGTCTTTACGTAGTGTTACACTTACAGTTACTGTCTTCTGCAAACATCCTAGGACATCTACTAACGTTATTTAGTCTCAGCATCAGTGATGAGAACGTGATGTCAAAGAAACAGAAGAACGAGGAAAAATAATTAGGTACGCTCGGAAAGAAACTGATTATAAAATGCTGCAAAGTCGCAACTGTATAATGAGATAAATCAATGTGAATATTTGTGGGTATACACACAAGAGGTCATACTTCTAAACCTCTATCCCGTCATTGTTAAAAAAAGTAAAAAAAAAGTGTGAGAATAGGCCTCCCAGAACAAAGGAAAGCCTTCTTTACCATAATTTACAACAATGGAGAACATGTTAATTTTCCAATTTAACTTTTCCTATAACCTACCAAACGCATTATATAAACATATGATCTCCTGAACTCTATGAATGTACACTACACTATGTATTCATCATACAAGAATTTGAGACCTTGCAGCACCACGAGAACACCTTTTCCTGCCCCTCTTGCTAAGTCCACAAACACATATGTCAAGAAGCTCATAGTCTTCCTCCCAGAATAACATGGATGCCATCTCAGGATTCTTCAAAAGCATCTTGGACGTAAGGAAACCAGCTATAGTCCATGTTTGATATAGCCGCGATTGTTTTCCAATAAATTTTCCAGTACGCGTATCATAGTATTCCGGCCAAGAATCAACTGGCAGTCTTTTCTCAGCCAAAGCAACGGCTTTCTGAGCAAGTTCAATTCGCCCCATTTTGATGCATGCCAGCGTGAACTGAAGATGATGTTCAAGGAAATACATCAGAAATTAAAGCAACACTTCATGACTTGACAGTTGATATGCAAGGTCTCAATAAGAAAATAGGCAAATTATTTTGTTTCGTTATTAAACATTTTTCTCTCTCACAATTAACAACCCAAGAAAATAATCTCTCTTGATCCTTTCTCTTCATACTTCAGATTCACTATCATATTTTAGTTTCCTGATTTCTTCAATATAGTAGAATTGAGTTTCTATTGGTTGTCTAGTAAGTACTCCTCGCATGCATCTTATTCCCAATGATCAGAACCACCAGAATTAGGAGTTCCATAGTTGAGGCGAGTAGTTATCCACAGGACAAACTGGATAACCAACAACATAACCGAGCTTTCCTTAAAACACACATTGTCATCAGGAAAAATTTACCTGCCACAGAAGGGTTGGCCAAGATCCACCATTGTGATATGACCAAGGGCTGCAAAAGTTAAGTATGTTGTTTCAGTTAAGACTTAAGATGCACAAAGTAGGAGCAATTCTGACAGCAAAGATAAACAAATTATACTACACATGTTCTTCAAATGGACTATGTATTAAAAAAATCATCGTTCTCAGATATGCAAACAGAAAGGAAAATTATGGTAAGAACTTACGTATTCTTTGGGTCGCAGCCAGTAATTATGCGCCACTCTTCATTATCAAAGGCAGGATAACATATCTTTAGAGGCATATGGCCCACAAGATCATCCCATTTTGCTTCTATCAAATTTAAAATAGCCTGGTTCTGTCTTGGGGTGCCCAATGATGAGACGATAGACCAAAGATTTCCAAGGGTGAAAAACCTGAAGTCCATGTGAGCTGGCTGCAAATTGCCAATCAGATATCCACCTTCTTCTGGAATCCAATCCATTAACCACAATGGAATTTGTTCTGGATAGATGTTGAATTTGTTGATGGCATCAGTGGAGTACTCTTCAGTTTTATACCTGTATATTTCATTGATCTTTCTCATATCCACCCAATAATATTCTCTAATGTGGAATGACAGCGCACTGAGTCTGTTGTTAATGGCCCTAATTAGATTATCGGTTCCACTTCCATCAGTTGCAACAAGCATCTCACGTGAGCAGCGAAGAGCGGAGTAAAATAATGCCTGTAAAATAAAACTTACCACACATAAATGGAGGGATAATAAGTAAAAATATAGAGGTAGAGTGCAGAAACGACATTACCTGAATTCAGAGTTTTATCTCATGTATAGCAAAGACAGATTAATAATGTCACGTGTAGCTTATACATGAAAATAGCATATATCAAAAAAAACCCGGAGCATATACTGGTATAAGTATAGAGTAGGGCAACTGCAACGCATCATTCTATTTTAAATAGAATAGACCACAACAACAGCATAAACTCCAAATAAATATTTAGCACCTAATATAAATCACATAACAATGAAAAGCATAGCATAGTTAAACTCACTTGGATCTCAAGGGGGTGGCCATGAATTCCCATCCGCCTATCTATCATGCAAGACCCATCGGTGACTAGCAAAGAAGGAAACATATCAAAACCATCTGTTAAACACAACTTAAGGATCATTCTTAATCCTGTTTGAACATCCACCCTTTCGTGCAAGCTGCAATCACCAGTGAGCTTCCCATAAGCCCGCAAGAGGATGATCCACCACAATCCTATCAAGGAAACAAAATAGAAACAATAGAGGAGAGTCATTTTGTTATCTATGCAAATAATATTTTTGAAAGAGCTCTTGGTTTACAACTCATTAGCAATTTTCAACATTATTCTTCTTTAGGCAGTATTATACGAAACTGCCAAATAATCAAGTACTAACCTGAATCTACAGGTGCAACACGACCAATAGCTGATTCCCCAAAATCAGGATCTAAAACTTCTTCATGATTATCTTCATCAAGAGCCACAGTTCTAACTTTGAAACTTGCAGGCATCAAGCCCTGGCCTGGACTGTAGCAGTCCACTGTTTTCTCCCAACTCTTGTAAGAAAAAGGTAGAATATTAGCTATCAATATTCAACAAAATTTTAAAACACTCAATGATTGAAGCAATCACAAATACACTTTCTTCGGGGATCAATCAAGCACAGAAAAAATATTGAATTAACATTTAATCATCATAATAATACACTTTCTTATAGCATTTAACCCTCAGATTTACAATTGATCCTCAGTATCCACTGCAATGGTGACAAACCAACTCCTAACTAAATAGTTGTGAAGAATACATGACAGGGAAGAACTATTCACTCAAATAGAAAAGGGATTCAGCCATTTATAAGTTAGACTTAGAGATATTGCGAACACGACGGAATTAAACACTAGGGAGAACTGCACCAATACGTCATCAGCAAATCACACAAGTGAAATCGATACTAAATTTTAACCCAAAACCTTAACCCATCATGCTTATGGGTTTTTTTCACTCACTCAACGTACCTAACTTTATCTGATTTAGAACTCTCATTCACAATTGAACACCAACAAGAAATCACATGATTGAATCATTAGGTGACTCTAAAAGCGTAAATTACCTGCAACTGCAAGGTGTGAAGAAGAAAGTTCTTAACAATCTCATGTTCTCCCCTGAGCAAGAAAGCAAGTGCTGAAGGGACAAAATCCCTAATAAAGACCTGATCATAATTCAAGGGTAGCTTGTCACCAGGATCATTTGCAGCCACAGTCCCCACAGGGTTGCCACAATAGCTCACAACAGCTCCCTGCAACAACTTCCATGCTTGTTTTTCCACCTCTGAGTCCTCCCCTTTGGTCACATGCACATCACCACCTAAATTTTTCTCATCATCCTTGTCATCACTTCCCACCACCAATGGCTTCACATTATTGATGCCACCCTGAACGTAAATCCTCTCAAAGTTGTTGTCATTGACACGGGTCTCAACAGTGGTTGAGAAATTTCGAACCTTGAAGGTGAAGACGTCCCTATTCGTTGTGCTTAAACTGCAAGGCAATGATACAGGGACAAAATTGGAAGAGGGTAAGCCAAAAACATTACCCTTTGTGCGATGAATTTGAAAAGGGTGGTGATGATTGAAACGAGGTTTTGCAGGTGGGAAGGCAAAAAATGGTGAATTTGGGGAAGCAAGGAGAATCCTGCGAGCGGATTTGATGGCGCGGTTGCGAATAAGGGCAATTGTGTTCATCGTTAGAAAGAAATGGAAGTGAGGAAAGAGATGAAATGTTAGTATATCATATCAAACACGCAAAGGAAAAAGGTATTAAGAATTAGGTTGAGTGGCTATGCCATGTGGTGGGGATTCATGGCGGTGCTGCTGCCGGCGGGAACACATAAATCTTTCATACTTTTTCCGTGAATTATTATTACAAGGTTATCCATCCATTAGTTGCACTACATTTTAATTTCTATTTTGGAAATTTTGTTTTAAAATGTTTGTATTCCATGCACTATGATTTTAGACATTGTATAAAATAAACTATGATTTTGATATATATAATTTTTTAATGCAGTCATTGATGATAAAAAAAAAAATATAAGTAAAGAGGTAATTATTTTCTATCAAATTCATTCATTTAAAAAATAATGTAATATTTGAATCATTAGGGTCAACTTAAAAATGGATTAGTAGAAGTTGAAATAATATATACAAGTTCTATACTTAAATTTTAATACTGCTATTATAATTCTGATAAATAAAAAAATAAAGTGACAGTTTAAAATACTTTGTGTATAAATAGAAATTGATCTTCACTATTTAATTAAAGAATATAAGACTCAAATAATTATATTAACTTTTAATGTTGATGATATTCTTTTAATTTTTATAAAATCATACATTTTTAATTTTAATCTCGTTTTGGTAAAAAAAATAATAAAATAATCTCTCTTATACTACAAAATATTTATTTTAGTTCTTATTATTTTTTATTTTATAAAATAATTTATATATTTTTTATTATGCCTCCTTTGATTTTATATGTAATAAATATATGTTAATTGTAAGTGTAAATTAATTAAGGGAGAGGATATCATACATGCAAAGGAAAAGGTATTAGGGTATTAATGTTAATTAAGTGTATAAATTTCTATCATGTTAGTATATCATAGTGCAAAGTGTCAACCGTCAACTATCATCAATTCTTTAGATCTATTACGTCCCTTGATGAATGACTTTGAGCTTGAAGTACAATTCCGAAATTAGGCGTTTATTTTAAAAGTGTAAAGAATAATCCAAAATTACTTAAATATAACAGTTCTAAAATTGAATAAAATAAAACTACTAAGATAAAAATTATTCAAATAAAAACTTAATCACATAAATTCAAATTAACGTATTAAAATTATGGTTAAAAAATAAAGCAAATTAACTTGGACAAATTTATACTTTATAATTTTTAACAAATTTTATATTTTTGTCAATAAATTAAATAATAAGTATACTTATGTACCGAAAAAAGAAGTAACAAGTATACTTAAGGATTTTATATGTACTACACCCTCTTCAGCCAAAGTCTTGAAACACCAAAATTACACATCTACCTATTTTTATTGTGAGATTAAACTATTTATCATAAAAGCTACTTATTCTATAAGATATTAGATAAGATTAAATATATAAAAAAAAATGAATTGAACATCTCAACAAAGCCTGTTACTTCTACAGGCTACTATGGCCACGGAAACAAGCTAAAAAGGAGTATTTGACTAGGGGTGCAGCAGCAAACTCCATTGACCTCATATAACCAAGGTAAGGTTCACCAAAGAATAACTCATGACCAGAAGAAAACATTAACTACTTTACAAAAGAAACCATCCATTATTATTACAGACAATAAAATCTCTTATCCACACTATTCATATGACTTATGGTCGATTCGAAATTATGATCTGACTTCAAATTCACCTGCCCGAGTAAGAGCTCGAAAACCTTTGTAAAATCGGTATGGTACAGTCTTCAGATCCAATTTATCTATTTGCAGACCAGAGAGGGCAACACCCATTATCCTAAAACCAACTTGAAATGTAGGGAAGACATGAAGGCGATCCAATCCAGTTTCAATCACTAATGTTCCAGACAGGGAAGGAGCTTTATCTTTTGGGATTCGATCAATGGACCATATGCATGTCTGGTATAACAAGATATAAATAAAGAATTAAATTATATAGCAAAATTGTGATTTTAAGTACTTCTCACAATTCACTAAAAGCATTATACTTGTGCAAATTATGTACCTTTTTAGCAAGGATGTTTACTGTTCCATGGTTAGAAGTCAGATCAGCTGATAATATGAAAGGAGGGAGCTGAAACTGAACAGTGACGGAGTCAATTGTCTTTCCAGGATCATTTCTTATTCCAACCAATACACTAACACGGCATGTCCCACCATCTGAAGTTAACTGTGGCTTTACATATATTGGGGTGCTCTTCAACTTTCTAACTCTGAAAAGTGAAGTGCTTGAATTATTGAGAGAACACAATGTGGGAATGCAAACAGAGAATTCAACATTCACAACTACAACTGTAACCAAAATGACTTTCTACAGGCACGTTTTTTCTTCATGATACAAAAGAAACAGCTTCCACCAAGCTGGTTTCAAATCCTGATTCAGGCGACAAAAGAGGATACTGTACCTGTAACTCATCAGCTTAAACTGTCCATCAGGAGGCACAAAAGAAAGAATTTGATGAGACTCCCAAGGCCGAAATCGAACACAGGGATGGAACCTCACATCATCAAGGATGGAAGGATTTGTAAATGAAAGGGTTAAATCAGGAAGACCTGAGATCCGTGAATTTACTTGAACTTCACCATAGATCTCACATTTCACCAAGCCCCCATCCCTGAATGAATAAAATTCTTTAGCTGTGACTACAAAGAAAGAAGCGAATTCTCCACAAGATAAAAACTACTAAACAGCGGTCTCAACATGATTTGTAATACATTTCTACCAATAAAGTTCCGCAAGTTCAAGCTACCAAGAGTCAGCAATATCCCATTCACAAAACTTTTAAAATAGATATCTCATTCACCAAAACATTGTAGCTAATAAGACAATAATTAATTACCAAAAGGTAAAAACACTGTCTATAGTTTTAAGAAGTGATAACAGAGAATGAGCATATAGACCTGCTTACAATCACATCCATTTCTTCAACAAGGTCTACATAGACTTCATTGTTGGCGTACTTTGGCTCTGCTGTTCTCCATGGAATACAAGATGCAGTAGCCGCAGGAAGGGTTTCACTCACATTTGAACTGTTACCAGTCACAATGCTCAAGGCTTTGTTAACCATATTCGGTGGAGCAATCATCTCTCGCAGGATACTAGGTTCTGTAGTTAAGGGGAAGCCATTGTCTATCATCTCATCCAACAGCTACAAGTACAAAATAACTAATTAGTTTGCATCTAGAGCCTCTTTGGATACAAACTCAAAAGAGCTTTCAAAAGTTTCTCTACCGAAAATAAAGTTTCTTTTCTCAATAAAAACTACTTCTAACTTGTATCCAACAAGACTTAACTCTAATCAACAAAGAGCTATGGGGAAAGTACTAGAGATAAGTACCTCATACACAATGACAAAGTTGTCTTTAACTATGTCTTCATTCAATGCCCCAAAATAATCATTGAGGACATCAGCTACCCTACAAAGAAACTAAAAATCATATAGTTAAGAGAAAATTGAAAAGTAAACAAAGTGGCTTCACATCATGAGTTGCAAAAGGTATACCTCAATGGCCATTAAGGGTGGCATTTCAACTTGCGTGCACCCCAGAAAAGTGATTCCCTCGCGAAAAACATGGAAAATATAATGCGTGGGAGAGGCAATCACTGGTTGTTGCTGAAGGACACGAATAAATAAGGTGAATGAAATTTTAAATAAATAAATAAATAAAAAAGTGAAAATGAAACAAAATAAAATAAAATAAACACCTTGAAGGAGTCGCCTAGTGAAATGGTTTGTTCCCAGAACCAGGCACAAATGGAGCGATCCAGGCGGTGCCCCGTGAGCTGCTTCTCCAGCATTAACTCTCTACCCATGAAATTAAATTCAAATTGCAGTCAAATTAACACTGAATTTCAAGCAAGTGGAGCAGACTCAAAGCATACATGTGAAAAATAATCTAATACATAATTTTGTTTATCTTACCCGGCATCTGAGACGAGAAATATGCACTGCAACATCACTCTCTTACTCTCGAGTGAACCCCAAATCGGAAGGAAGAAAAGTGCGTAAAATAACTTACAGTGAAGCAATGAGTCATCTTTGAAATGATTCCAACCAGAAGAAGCTGGCAAACTTAGCTGCTGACATGGATATCCAATCTCTATCTTATTAATTTAATCTCTAAATACTTTAATTTTCATATATTTATATTATCACTGTATTGTATTCTAATCAATCCTGACAATCCATGCTGACTATGACCAATCTCGAGAGAAAAGAAGACAAGACAAATTTTTATTTAAAAAATTATTCAGAATTTTGATAATTTTATCTACGAAAAGATAAAGTGATAAATTATGTAAAGTATCTCATGGGATTCAACCAAAGTCTCACGTCATTCAAACAAGAAATTGGACATGAATTTATATATACATAATTTTCTCCATTGGAAGAGTGACATTTTAGGCGATATCCAAAAGCAAAACATGAAAGGGAATAAAAAGAAAAGGAGAACATGTACAAAATTGTTGTGCACTATGGGGTTACCACATAGACCCACTCTTAGGAAGACTTTTGATACAAGAGATCCCAAACTTGAATCCCTCCATGTTACTAGGAAGCCTCTCTTCCACATGGACCCACTTGTTGAGCACCTAGGGGGGTTACCACACATATACATGTCTCCACATTGGTGAGATATTGTCCGCTTTGGGTTCAAGCCCTCACGGTTTTGCTTTTGGACATCACCCAAAACCCATGTCCACACAGTTGTCTCCATTGGTTGAGAGACCTTTTGGGTGATATCCAAAAGCAAAACATGAAAGGGAATAAAATGAGCCTTTTGGGTGATGTCCAAAAAGCAAAACATGAAAGGGAATAAAATGAAAAAGGCCTCTCAACCAATGAAGACAACTGTATGGACATGGGTTTTGGGTGATGTCCAAAAGCAAAACCGTGAGGACTTGGGCCCAAAGCGGACAGTTGTCTCCATTGGTTGAGAGGCCTTTTAGGTGATGTCCAAAAGCAAAACATGAAAGAGAATAAAATGAGCCTTTTGGGTGATGTCCAAAAGCAAAACATGAAAGGGAATAAAATGAAAAAGGCCTCTCAACCAATGGAGACAACTGTGTGGACATGGGTTTTAGGTGATGTCCAAAAGCAAAACCGTGAGGGCTTGGGCTCAAAGCGGACAGTTGTCTCCATTGGTTGAGAGGCCTTTTGAGTGTTGTCTAAAAGCAAAACATGAAAGGGAATAAAATGAGCCTTTTGGATGATGTCCAAAAGCAAAACATGAAAGGGAATAAAATGAAAAATGTCTCTCAACCAATGGAGACAACTGTATAGACATGGATTTTGGGTGATGTCCAAAAGCAAAACCGTGAGGGCTTGGGCCCAAAGCGGACAATATCTCACCAATGTGGAGACATGTGAGAGGCCTTTTGGGTGATGTCTAAAAGCAAAACTGTAAGGGCTTGGGCCCAAAGCCGACAATATCTCACCAATGTAGAGACATGTGTATATGTGTGATAACCCTTAATACACAAAAGTATCTGTTACCGTCAATTACTTGTATCTGTTACCGTCAATTACTTGATTCTCTTAAATAGGATTGGTAATAGTTGGAAAAAGATATAAAAATTAGTATATGAAAACTGAACTTAGTACCAAACTAAAATCAATTAAATATGTATTCTTTTATTTACTGTTATAAACAATATATAATTCATTTTAAAAATAGAATATATAATCCCGTCTCCCTTGCCCTCCAAAATCCATTTCTCAAATTTATCTTTTATCTTTTTTTTTTCTTCTTTTTTGTTGTTTAACAAAATAGCCTAAGTGCAAGTAATCTACATCAACATTACTAGTAAAATACAGGTTTTTTTTTTTTTGAAAGTGCAGTAGTGGATTTCGCAATGTTTTGGTCATTGAGACAATTATGACCGGTTACTCGTGATGATGCAACATCATCGTTTATTATTATCCTTCAATTTGCATGAGTCAATATCACCACATCGTCTTTTATAATTATCCTTCAATTTGACAATTTCCATGAGTCAATATCCTGATCATATGCTGTAAAGATTTGTTGCAATTGATACAGTCATACATAATATGAATCGTAGCCCTTCGATGCAAAAAGAATACAAGAAAAAAAGATTTACAACTAAAAACAACTGTTCTACTATGCAATTCGATCGTCAAAGTCTCATTCAAGCCATTTCATATAAAAAGTACAAAATTTTGCAGTTGTTGTATTAGTCACTATGCAAGTTCAATGAATCCAATCCGATGCTAGCCGAAATAATCATGTACAACCTTCCACCGCATCTCAATAATGCACGGTTCAACTTGCATTTCCATTTTTGACAATCAGACGACACTGAATGCTGACTGGAGGGTAGACGAGAACCGAGAGGCAATTGTCTGAGAGGCAAATTGTTGAATCTGCTTCTTGGCATCTGAAAAACAACCAATCAGTTTTAGCCATTGCGAGTTTTTCCATTAAAGCTTAAATGGTATATTGATATTCATTTGGAGTACGAAGAAAAATCCTTCCTGTTGGGTGGGAAGAGGACACACAGAAGGACAGAGCTAATAGAACCACTATTCTCAAGATATGGAGTAGAACTAACCTTGAAGAAACTCCTAACTTCTAAGGCATGTATGTTTCACAAACATCCAAATTATTCGAACTCAAACATGCATTCACGGGAGTAGGATCAATTAAACCAGATGCAATGCAGAAAATATTGATATAACAAAAAAAAACACGACCCAGAGTTCCCAATCACACCAAAACAGGGTACTACTACAAGGAGTTATTCCTTTTCACAAACTATGTACAATATCATTCCAAAATGGTGCTTCTCGTTACTTAACCAACACCCTACAATTATTTCTAGTTATAATAACAATAATACCTTTAAATTTGCCCTTTTTTCCAGCAGGGAATTGGCAAAAAAAATATCATAAATTGCAATTTGACAGATAAAAGATGGACTCTAAACATGAGTTATTTAGTCAGTATACTCATATTTCAAACAACTTCAGGGAACATACATTTTAACAATATTAGCAATAAACTTGCGCACCTTTTTTGCACTTGGTAAAACCAACAATATTTGCAATGCTGAGGGTCAGACAAACTCCTACAACAAGCAGATAATCAGCTTGAAGCCTTATGAGTGAGAATATTGCCAGCACAATCCATGCAACTGCCTGTAGAACAATACAAATAATAAAATTATAAATAAAAAAAATCATTTCTTATGCTGAACTTGATTATGATTGTATCTTTTGGGAGGGGGTGGTATAAAAACTACAAGCAATGTTGTTAATGGCGGTGGTAGATGGTGGAAGCAAGCAAAAAAAGCCCATAAAAATATGCTAGATAGTATAGCAGGTTAAAGTGAGGCGGCTATAACAAAATATATACCACAAATACCCCAAAAAAATGTACAGTCTAACAAAAATCTAACATATGTTACAAAACAATAAACCAAAAATATTGCAATTCATAACTTCAAAGACAGAAAACTAGAGCTTAAAGGGGGAATCAATAGGGAAAAAAAAACATAAGGGACAGAAGATTTAAAAAAAAAAAAAAAAAAGGAAGTGAAACGAAAAAATTGTTGGGTAGCTGGAGAAGGTAACCAGAATATGGAAAAGAAAATGGGGGGTGCACGGGCAGAAAAACCAAAAACAGGGAGGGGAGTGCTAGAAAACCAAGGTTATCAATGGTGGAAGGCCAAAATTCCACCATATAAATTCATCGTTGTGGCACCACATAGTGAGCCTTCCTTCACAAATTGCCTATGGTGGATGGGTAAAAACATGCCACGTCATAGCGCTATAATGGTTGTTTAGCAACATTATAGAAAACACAGGTTGTTCAAAAACACAAGCAGTTGGAAATGGAGTCTTGGCTGGCAGAGATGGATGAGGAAAGCTAAAGCATGCCAATGTGAGCTGAGAGTAGATGGATGCAGGTCCCCTAAAGATTGTTTATTACAGTTTCACTAAAACTTATGGGTCAAGGGTATACCATGGAAATGGTCAAACAGATTGGGTCAGAGTGACCCTCCTTTTTTTTTTCTAGGCGTCTTCCACCATAACTGTTTTTTTTCGCTCTATGGAGTTGTGAGCATGGGGGCCACCATGGCACCACCACGAGAATCTTCCATAGCCTCAGTATGGCATCTTGTTGAAAATTCACCACACCGATGCCATCCCGCCATCATCGCAAAACTGCCATTTAAAACAGACTAAAAGCAGCAACACGACCATGCCTTGTTAATTCAGGGTTATTCTCCATCTGAACCCAAACTTTATGGAGAACTGGTTACTTTATTCTGAGCATTATAACCTATTTAGCATACTATTTATTCCTAAGCACCATCTCAACGAATCTGATCAGTCAATAATATTATATAAAGCCCCCCCTTCACTGAATCTCCCAACAACCACATAACTCCATAAGGATCCAACAGAAAACTGGAATGTCAGTCGAACGCTGGAATCAAACCATATTTTCTTACCGTAATGTACAGGGTCCACCAGAAAAGCCATGAATCTTTCTTGTTCATCCGAGCCAATGACTGCAAGGGAAAAAAAATCAATATATGTAAAGATGCAAACAGGCATCTATAAACAATCCAGATCCCGTTCTTATGCTATGTTCCAATTCAGCAGAGACGATACATGATAGAGATATCATTTGATCACTACAAAACAAAATTACACAGACACAACCGATCTAAACAAGGAATACCTACCTCATGGTCGAGACATTCAAATTTCCAAACACTCTCACCCAGATCATTAATTTCATTCCACCACCTCAAACCAACTAAAATCCGGCCACTCACATTCTTGACCACCCAAAAATCAAGAGCAGCAAGGAGGACAGTCACCACAAAAATGATGACAAAGTTATCAATAAAGAGTGCCGATAGAATGTAAAATGCCAAGGCTGAGGCCTGCCAGAGACAGAAAATTTGATGCCTTAATGAAGTGAACATGGCTTCCATAAAGTTATAATCAATCTAAGAGCACAATTAGATACACATTTCAAAACCTTGAATAGCACATGAAATAAGCAAGTCTTGGGATTGGCGTAGTTTTCACCCTCGGGCTGCACACACAGGAAATTTCAATTAATCACCTAAATCTGAAAGGAACCACAATTCAATTGCACGAGCAATAAGTAAATCCTATCCACTTTCAATGTACAGCGCAGAAAATGAAAATAAATAAATCAATCAATCAAAGGCGTTACATTACTGAATCGTGAGAGGAAATTAATTACGCGAGTATAGAGATGCTAATTGATTATATTTTCCGCGAGGGAGAAAAATGAAATCAAGTCTCTCTCTCTCGCTAGGAACGACGAAAATTGAAAGAAACAACTTAGATGAAAGCAGATCTAAGAGTTATGCGGAGAAATAGTTGAGTCACCTGAATGGGATCCATGTGTACAGTTGAAAGAGAAGGAATCAGAGACGACGGAGCAAGAGCATACCAGATCTTATACCCCTGCAACGATTTTCAGACCAAAATTTGTTTCCAACACAAGTTATTGAATTTCTCACAAAGTATGAAGATTGAAGTGTTTAAGTCTTTTTTTTTTTCGCAAGGAAATGAAAACCGTAGACCAAAAAGGCTCTTGGGCTGGATTGGGCTTTACCCCACCCCCCTTTTCAATTTTTTTTAATAGTTTCTCACTCTTTTTTTCTTGCCAAAAATCTCATTTGAAATACAATTACATACTAAATATAGACAATTTTTTTTGCAGTAATTTTAATTTTTTAGTTTCTCGCCTCGTAGAAATTAAATTCAACTCTACTCGATATTTCATGGTATTTTTAAGGATAAAACTTATATGTAATATGGTAAGTGTTGTTAGTATTTTATAATCAAATTTGGAATTTGGTTTTGGTAATATGTATAATATTGTTGAAGTACAAATCTAATTTTGTTTGAAGAACAACTAACAGTCTCCACAGTACTATGTCTAAATTTTGACTTATTTTAAATTCATGTTCTTTTTTCCCAAATTTTTAATAGGTTTTTATGGGATCTCCAATGTTGAGAAAAATAATATTAATGAGTTAAAAAAAGGTTATTTAATAAATTAAGTTTCATTCAATAATTTAAAACTATGTAAAAATAAATGAATTATTGTATTAAGGAAGCCTAAAAATATATTTTATATACTAATTATCAAAAAGAAATTAAAAGGTTGTTTATATATGCATATACATCTATGTAAATTTAAGAGTTATTTTTTCATCTTTGCTATCTTAGGAACGGCTGGGCATAGACAATACATCTTTAAGTCGCAACAATAATAAAATGTTCATCTTAGCATGCTAACTTTAAAATGATTAAAATAATAATAAAATGTTCATCTTCATGTATCCAAGCCCATAAAAGAGTTGGGTAGAAATGAGTGCAAAAGCCCAAAGTTGAATTCCTTTTTTGAATAACTCGTTTAAGCTCATTTCTTGCTTTAACTTCTGCAAACAAAAAGACCCATTCCCACATCACTCTTTGTCCTCGAACCAGAAATAATAAGAAAAACAGAAGTACTTGGAATGTTTTCCATGTTTGGTGATGTCACGCTTGTTTTGTTTAGTTGGATATTTGTGCATCTATTTGTATGAGTCGCCTTTATGTTTTGTTTAAGGGAAAATGCTCAAGAAATAGATAGTGCGGTAAAATAATCCATTTATCTAACTCATCATCCCAAAAATATAATATTTCATAGTTTAGATTTTAATGAATTTATACTGCAAAAATTTTAAGATTGAAAAAATTGTAAATTTATAAAATTTGAAAGAACTCTATATTTTCAGCAAATATTCAAAGTTATAAGTGATTAAATCAAACATAAAAAAATATAAGGTTTGAATTTTGATAAAGAAAAAAAAACTAATAAAAATGTTATATAAATAATCATTTGATTTTTTTCTTGACAAATGTAGGGGAAATAAACCACCATAAATAAATTATATTGAATTTTTAACACACATGAATTTTATGGACAACATAATAACAAAACATTAAGATATATTAATTGTGTAGATAGTTGAAAGGAAATAGAAATATAAAAGTGAAAAAAAAAAAAAGAGATAGAGAGAAGACAGAAAGAGAGGAAATGTAACGACCCGGCTGGTCACTACACACGGTATAGCACAACCCTAAATCCTAAATCCTAGACCTTAAACTAAGACAACAGTTAGAGCAGGTCTCCTGGATGGACCCAGAAAAACCAAGTGATGCACATCATCCTTCACTAAACTCATCTTTCCCTCTGTTAGACTGTTATTTCTTTAATGTGCTTTTGAAGTTCTTTTTAATTGTTCATTTGTTTTTAATAGAGAAGATTAAAACAATGTTTTAATCAAATGAGAAATTTATTAAAATTATATGAACTAAATTAGAATACGTTGATGTTGACTTTTGTCATAATTACTTTAAATGTAATTTTTAATTGATTCATAGTATAAATTAATGGTGTCCATACGTCACAATTCTTATTTGTAATTATAATTTCATTCTTATTTTGTCCAAGAATCATCCTTGGATATTATAATTGTACTTAGATTGTAATTACAAGCGTACAAAAGTTGAAATTTATCAGATATTGAAATTAAAGAAACGGCAAATAATAATACCCTATAGATTTGCTTCAACATCAATCTTCGTTTAACCTATCTCCATGTATATTCAAAAGTAAGTCTACTTTTCTCTGCTGAGCACAGGTAATGCTTTTTAATTCCAAAGCATGAGGAAGAGAGCTGGTTAATTGTAGCTACACTGCAAGGTGCTCAACCTCAAATGGAAAGTGAAGAATCCATTTCAACTTTGAAGTTATCAAGAGAGTGTGAAATTATATTAGGAACTGCAGAGAACAAATTTCAATATAAACTTTATAACTTTAGCATTTCATTTTTTCTTTCAAAGTGCGGGGAGCTGATACATAGTAAGTTCTAGAGCAAGAAATAAAATGGATAACATGACAACTTAGTTCAAACTTAAGAGAAGCCTATTAAATAAACTTATTATCATATGAATGACAATAGTGAAGAACAGTCATAAGCCGCAGCAACTAGTGTGAGAATCAAACCTCTTGGACTTTAACAGCAGTAGCAACTTGGTTGACTTCCTTGTTGTGTTCTTCTTCCTTCTTCACTTCCTTAACTTGTTCCTCCTTATCCTTCTTCACTTCCTTAACTGGCTCTTCAACCTCAAAAGCTGAGACTGGGAATGTCCTGAAAAGCCCTGAAGGGGTCTTGAATGTGATCTTCCCAGTGGGTGGATCATCAACAAAGATCTCATTCAGTGTGATCCAAACCAAGAGCTCCTTGGTCTTCACACCAGTCAGCTTCTTTATCTTGCCAAGCTCAACATAGGCTGTGATCTCAGGAGCATAGGACACTAGCTTCCCAATCTTCTCAAACTTGTGGTTTATGGACTTCTTCTGCTTCAGCCACACAAACCCACTTTCCTTCTCGTACCCTACTTCCTCAATGTCCTTCAAGGGCAGAAGACCATTGGGTAGCCCTACTTCCTTCAACAGTAACTTGGACTTTTCTCTGCAGAGTTCATCTCCATGGTACACCTCTGATTTGGCTTTGATCTCTGCGGTCACTAGAGACATCTTTTCTCTTTCTGATGTTACGATCAGTCAAGGCTATGTGATTGATTATGAAGGATCAAGGGAGATAGGTGGGGTTCATATATAGTATTCATGCTATCACTTTGCCCTCCTATCTCACATAAACTTCAACAAAATATATTATTGACCAAACTTTGTTTTTCTCTGTTAGACTGTTATTTCTTTAATGTGCTTTTGAAGTTCTTTTTAATTGTTCATTTGTTTTTAATAGAGAAGATTAAAACAATGTTTTAATCAAATGAGAAATTTATTAAAATTATATGAACTAAATTAGAATACGTTGATGTTGACTTTTGTCATAATTACTTTAAATGTAATTTTTAATTGATTCATAGTATAAATTAATGGTGTCCATACGTCACAATTCTTATTTGTAATTATAATTTCATTCTTATTTTGTCCAAGAATCATCCTTGGATATTATAATTGTACTTAGATTGTAATTACAAGCGTACAAAAGTTGAAATTTATCAGATATTGAAATTAAAGAAACGGCAAATAATAATACCCTATAGATTTGCTTCAACATCAATCTTCGTTTAACCTATCTCCATGTATATTCAAAAGTAAGTCTACTTTTCTCTGCTGAGCACAGGTAATGCTTTTTAATTCCAAAGCATGAGGAAGAGAGCTGGTTAATTGTAGCTACACTGCAAGGTGCTCAACCTCAAATGGAAAGTGAAGAATCCATTTCAACTTTGAAGTTATCAAGAGAGTGTGAAATTATATTAGGAACTGCAGAGAACAAATTTCAATATAAACTTTATAACTTTAGCATTTCATTTTTTCTTTCAAAGTGCGGGGAGCTGATACATAGTAAGTTCTAGAGCAAGAAATAAAATGGATAACATGACAACTTAGTTCAAACTTAAGAGAAGCCTATTAAATAAACTTATTATCATATGAATGACAATAGTGAAGAACAGTCATAAGCCGCAGCAACTAGTGTGAGAATCAAACCTCTTGGACTTTAACAGCAGTAGCAACTTGGTTGACTTCCTTGTTGTGTTCTTCTTCCTTCTTCACTTCCTTAACTTGTTCCTCCTTATCCTTCTTCACTTCCTTAACTGGCTCTTCAACCTCAAAAGCTGAGACTGGGAATGTCCTGAAAAGCCCTGAAGGGGTCTTGAATGTGATCTTCCCAGTGGGTGGATCATCAACAAAGATCTCATTCAGTGTGATCCAAACCAAGAGCTCCTTGGTCTTCACACCAGTCAGCTTCTTTATCTTGCCAAGCTCAACATAGGCTGTGATCTCAGGAGCATAGGACACTAGCTTCCCAATCTTCTCAAACTTGTGGTTTATGGACTTCTTCTGCTTCAGCCACACAAACCCACTTTCCTTCTCGTACCCTACTTCCTCAATGTCCTTCAAGGGCAGAAGACCATTGGGTAGCCCTACTTCCTTCAACAGTAACTTGGACTTTTCTCTGCAGAGTTCATCTCCATGGTACACCTCTGATTTGGCTTTGATCTCTGCGGTCACTAGAGACATCTTTTCTCTTTCTGATGTTACGATCAGTCAAGGCTATGTGATTGATTATGAAGGATCAAGGGAGATAGGTGGGGTTCATATATAGTATTCATGCTATCACTTTGCCCTCCTATCTCACATAAACTTCAACAAATGCCACTCATTAATTTGTATTATATATATATTTATTTCAAAAATAAGTCTATTTATGCTTCTTTTGTTCAATAATTAATGTTACATATCAAATTTTAATGATTTAATTGTTGAATTTAAAATTTTTAATATATATATCAAATTTATAAGTTTTTAAAAATTTTAAAAATTATTTAATACTTTATTTTATTAATTCAAACTAATATATAAAATGATTTTGTAAGAAATTTTTCTCATCACACTCACTCGACCAAAGACTAATCTCATTTGTGGTATTATGATTGTTACCAATAAAAGTCTAACAAATTTTCATACACGTAATAAAAATTGAAAATGAATTTTTCACTACATAAATTGTCTCCACAATATACACAATATATAAGCATAGAGGATAGGACAACTGCAATAAATTGTATTATTATTAATTTGTACCATGTTATGTTATTTGGTAGCTCACTATTAAGTTAGTTGGTAGGCAAAAGGTGTGTCTTAAATGCCAGTGCGTGTTGCTAGTATATGGCTGCAGTTGAGTATTAAAGAGTGAACAAATGAGTGTCTTTTTGCAGTAACTTTATTTCAATAAAATTGGTTTGAGGCAGGTGTCCTTCTCTTAACTAAATCAGTTTTTAGGAAGCGGATTCAATACAGTTGGAAATTGCACCTATTTTTAGAACTGTTATGAGTTGTTCCATCTTTTTATGACAGTAGCGTGTGTGTTATGGCACGGAATCTCCCTATCTATATTCCAATTTTTATCATTTTTTGAATCTTGTTTGCACATAATCCTCTGTAAAGGAGAATGTTTGAAAATAAAAAATTATTTAATTTTTAAAATATATTTTTATAGGTAGATTGGATATTCATCCATTAAAAATTTGTTAATAAATAGATGGATTGGATTTTTTTTCCTTTACATGTATAAATTAATTGAATTTTAAAATAATTTTTTAGTGAATCTAAATTGATAAATTAATTTTTTTCATTTGATTCATTATAATCTAATTAAAAAATTATTTAATTTACCTATTTGTCACTTCTAAAAAATAAATGAGAAATAGAAAATTTACAGTGTATGATAAAATAACAGAAGATAAAAGAAAAAATATAAATCTCAAAAAGAGAGAGAAAGAGATTCAAATTTTATAATCATCATTCTAATTTCTACCTATATACAAAAAATAAAAATAAAAAGTTACTCAAGTTTTAGTGTTCATTTTAAAGGAAATTAACTTGCTGAAACTAGTTTTGTATTGTAATAAACTAATTTGTTTAAACTTATTTTAACGAAATTTTTTTAATGAAATTAATAATTTTCAACCTTTTTATATCTTTTTTTTAATTTGATTATCTCAAAAATGAATAATATTTTTTAAAACTCACAAAAAAAAATTAAAAAATTGTTATGATTACTTTTTTTAAAGTGTGAACAAATTGACTCAATATCTTATATTATCTATGTTCCTATGTACAAAACTCAATTACCTAATTCATTAAGATTAAGAAAAGTAATTAATTTAGTTGATAATAATGATTTTATTCTATTTATATTTTTTTCAAACTATTATTCCACTTCTCCTTTCTAATCAATAGTCATACATTTTATAACCAACTAGAGTGCATGTCATATACTAATTTTCTTTTCTAATTAATACTCATTCATCTCTTAACCAAATAGAGTGCATGTTCTTAAAAAAGTTTATAATTAATGCATTTTACTAACACACTTTAATTAGGACTATTTTAATTTGAACCCAATAATATATGAGAAAATATGAATTATGTTTTATATAAAAGAATAAATATTTTTTTAAGTTGTGTCTTATTAACAAGAACAGAGGTAGTATGTCTTATTAACATTGATTGATACAATTGGTGGTGACTTTATGTCCCTTAACCAAATTGATATGGGTTCAAATTATAGTCAAAAAGGGTTTTGTCCTATGAACCAATCCGACCTACCTTGAAAACATATTAGATTTAAGTTAAAAGAATTAAGAAATTCATAATTAGTCACAAAACTTAACTTTATTTACTTTCGACTCAGTCTACCCAAGTTCAACTCATGGTGGATCGGACTACACACCTAAATCACTTATAATCCATTAACCCAACCCACCAACAATCCAGTTAACCATTTGTTGTTATATATGTATTATTATAATAAGGTATATATATATATATATATATATATATATATATATATATACATTTAAGATATTATATATTGTAGATGAAGATAAAATTGATATTAAATAACATGAAATTATTATAGATTTATCTACTGAAGCATTTAATGAAATTTAATATTGATGGACAATCAATCTAATAACAATTTTTTTGTAATCTTTTTGTTTTGATTATTTAAAGTTATAAAATTATATAATTAAATAAAATTTTGAATGCATGATATTTAGTTTATTAATTTTAAAAATTAAAATTTATTTTAGATTTTAGTATATTTTAAATTAGAGTTTTTTTTGTAAAAATAGGTGGATCAATGGGGTAGTCTATTTAGCCCACCAATTCATGATAGAATAATTTGGGCTAGAAAAGTTTAAAGGTTTAAAAAAGAAAGGTTGAATGAGACCAACTTACTTAGAAAATAGGTTAAGATAAATGAGGTTAAACGGATTGAATTAATCCATTTTGATAGTATTAATTTGAATCCTAATCTTAAATATTAAATGGATTATGTCTAAAGACTAAACTTATGTATGTTTACATTTCCTAACATATTTTAATCACTATTTTTTACTATAAACTCTTTGTATCAATACCTTAATTACCTAAAAGAAACATGTTATCCTTACTAATATCTTTGATATAAAGATAAAAAAAAAACTTCATTTCTAGTAATAAGGATGTTATAATTTAATGACATAAATAAAAAAATAAAACTACCTGAAAGTTCGGTTTCATTTCTTCATTTATTTACATAAAAAGTAAAAATAAATATTTAAATAGTTGCATTATTATTTTTCTGTAAAAAATAATAATAAAACTTAATAGATAAATAATTTATTAATTCAAGTAATATTAAATTCATCTAGAATAAAATATTGAATTCAAGTTTAATTTGTGTACGAGAAAAATATGGTTAGATGAAAAAATTATACTAAAAATTAATAAATTATTTTTTTAATAAAAATTAGTCAATAATAAAATTAATAAATACTTTACAAGAATAATATAATTACCTAAAATATAACATTCATGATAAATATAGAGAAATAAAGGAATATGGAATTTCAGAGAATATTCCGATAGAGATTCCTTCCCGCTACCGGTCAATTTCTTTTGCGAAAAATATTCAAAGCAACACTTTTGGATATATAAATTATAAATTGCCATCATTTCTAAAGCTAAAATGGTCGGTCTACGAAATATAAAATATTATATTTCGCTTTACTTTCTATCTGACTATTTTCCACGATGCCGCATCTGACAACATCGAGTAATGTCATATTTTTTAAAATATTTTTTTGACTACCCTCATAATTTTTTTACATAATAAATACGAAGATTTACATCATTAAGCGCATTTGCAATGTTATAAACAATTTTCGGTGTCACATTATTGTCAAATTAGTTTTGGTCCACTTTATGAGTTTATGGGTTGCTTTACGGTATCCGTATTTACAATTTTTACTTCGGTATTATATTGTTTAATGCGTTCACGGATAATTTTACTTATTTCATCTGCACGAATGGTTATCATGAAAACTTTTATTTATTTTTTTAGAAGAAAAAATAATTCCTATACTCTATATTATAATAGAAAGACTAATTAGTTATCAACTTTGCTAAAATTTAAGCAACCCATAAAATGAGTCAGAGCTGATGTGGCAGTGATGTGGCACAGAGAGTTGCTTATAAGCAACCCCATTACAGATGCTCTAAGATTAGTCTGGTGGTTGAATGAGAAGAGATTGAAATAGTTAAAAACATGAGAACTTAGATTCAATCTTTATTGTAACCATTTTTATAATTTTTCTTATCTTAAAAAAGAAATACGAAAATTAAAATAAAATACGGTTTAAAAAAATCTAATGAATATGTATTTACGATATTTTACACTACCAGACAATTATAATTTATTATTAATATAATTTTTAGTTATTTATTATTAAATTAATAAAATCATCGTACATATATTTTGTGGTCGAAAGTTAATATAAAATAATGCATACTCCTCTAAAAAAAATTGCTACCTATTCCATTAAATTGGATTAGGTATTATGATTTTGGACCAACTAACAAAACGAGAAAACGATAGTCGTAGGAAGTTAGACAAATCACCACGTGGCTCTCTCTTGACCATACAACGGTACCCCGCGTTATACACGCAAAGGATTTTATAGATCCCACCGAAGTTCAGAGTTGACAGAAAATACCTTGGTGGAAAGCCACGTGTCCAGTAACGTGAACGTGTCTCGCCATCCCGAACGTTGAGCCAGTCGGTGCTGATAGTAACACTGTAAGGGGCGGTGGCAGTTTAACCTGAAAACGGATATTCTATAATTTCTTTTTGTCGCTTGCGAACCAAACAAATTTATGGAGAGTAGCTTTTCAACTTCCGATAGTGGCTCAAGAAGCTTCATAAAATGTGTTTATCTCTATGTATCATATTTTTGGAAGTCGGCTTCAACTTTCAAAATCACTTGTTACTTTTTAAAAATTCTAAATTTACCCGAAAACATCAACATGTTTCTTAATTCACAAGTGTTGCTCAATAATATTAATATATATATATATATATATATATATATATATATATA